GCCGGCTCAAACGATCCAAAAACACGTTGGAGTTCCACCTGTTTTACCGTCGTGGATGATGACCTGGAACAGTTTCTGGGGCAACTCAAGTCTGCGCGGATGACAACTCCTAGATTCTCCTCGGATGCAGCATGAGGCAGAGTTTCGTGCCCGAGAGTGTAAGGATAACAACCATAGTGAGGTAGTGGTAAAACTTTATATTTGGCAACGTTGAATTCAACATCATTAGAGACAGACCATTTTTGGGCTTCGTCAAGGGCGTTCTGGAGATCAAATAAATCCCCAGGTTTTGTTATTGTTCTCCAAATTTTGGCATCGTCCGCAAACATCAGTTAAGGTCCGAGGACGTCTGGAAGATCATTTATAAAGGCAATGAAAAGACGTGGGCCTGGCACAGATCCTTGTTGAACCCCACGGTTGACATCTATTGGATCAGTAAGGGTAAGGAATATGTTCCACAAAACGGGGAAGTACGAACCTAGTGTTACTAGGGGCATTGACCACTTGACAGTACTGCAGTCTAGACATTTCCACAGCCTCCTTGGTTGTCGCTGAAACACGTCCTGCTGAGTTTAGTATCGGAACACTGTGCTTGACTTTCCGGGAAGCGTTTACATGCTTATCTAGTAGCTTAGGATTTGCGATAAACTTCCTCGCCAACATATCGTGAAGATTTTGCTTGTCTTCCCGCACCAATTTTGTACATTGATTTTGAATGAGCCTGTAAGCTTCCCAAGTGCTGTGACATGGATAGCGTTTGAACTCCCTCCAGTGAAAACCCCTTTGCATTATACATTTCTTAGTTCGACTGCGAAAAGACATCGAAAAGAACCTTAAGACGGTTTCTGGGCTGTGTCGCATACTACATACAGCCAGTTCGTTAAAAATGTTACTACCGTCGCCGAACCTTTATAAGCCTTGCTTAAGAAAGAATATCGATTTCGACGGACACCAGAGGCCCAGGAAGCCTTCGATACACTCCAAAGGCTCATGATCAAAAATCACCTGACGCTAGAGATGCTGGTGCTTGATGGGTGCTTCAAAATTATGACTGTTGCCAATGACGTTGGGGTGGGAGTCGTACTCAAACAAGCGAGTGGATTGACTGAATACATAAGCGGGATTCTTACTCTAACAGAAAGGAAATATTCCACCAAGGAAAAAAAAATTATTTACCATCGTTTGGGTAAGGGCTAAGTGACTACCATATGTTTTGCGTCAAGCGTTTCGTATATAAACGGACTAGAAGTCACCAGAGTGGATTAGAACCTCTAAGGCCCCGAGAGGAAAACTAGTTCAATGGGTGCTTTGGTTGCAGGGGTACGACTTCACGACCAATCATGTTACGGGTGCGGGAAACTGTATGGTGGATATTTTTTCTCGTCAGGAACAAACAGTTTACTTCACGGTTGGTACGCTGACAGTGGGACAGGACCGGCATGAATTAGTGAAGGAACAGAGTAGGGATCATCGAATTTGCAAGGTGATTGAAGCAATCTCACGAGGTCAATGCTGAAGTAGGCAGCATAGCACACAAATGAAGTCATGGAAATCCAGATGAAAGCAGCTTTATTTGAATGCCACCGGTGTCTTTATGAAACTACTGTGTAATAGTTGAATTACACACCGATCGCGAATTACGAGTCACGTATCAGAAATTACGGACGCCACGTAAGCATGGAATCACACTGGTACTAGCACGACGGTATCCCACGTAACCGAGACGCAACGAAATAACCAAGGGAGTGGCAGTTCATTTATCCTAATAAATCAATGGGGTTTAAATTATATTTACGAAGGAAGTCCATCGATCATCCAAGCCTCTACCAATCGCGTGGTCGTATTCCTGATGTCGTATAGCTTCTGTCTCGGTCGCACAGCTTCTGATTGGTTGGCACAAT